CTGAATTCCAGCAACTTTGTGTTAAAGTTAAATTTATAAAATCTTGACAAAATAAATTATATTCCATAGGTATATACTAATCCAATTAAATCAATATGACATTTGAAATTAAAATGCCATTATAAGAAAGAAAGCCCTCCTCTTTGATATTTTATCTACTGGAGAACAAGGTGAATTTTTGCTTGCATGTGCTTACTACCAGGTGCACCGGCTGAGACAGCCACAATACGCAGTTCAAAGTCATGCCAAGGAAAATCATGCAAATCAGATCCTTGGCACATGAATGGCCTGAACCTGGGATCCTTAGCATATATGATTTCTTCTTAAGGAGTAGGCCACCAGGTATCCTAGACCTGATATACACACTGATGCACATAACATTCTATAAGTCAGACTCAATAATAGAGGCATATCTTGGGCAGATGAGATCTAAATCAGGATACAAAAACTATGTTCCCAGAGAGAAGCAGAAAACATCACAATCTTACTTCAGAGGAAAATTCCATGGACATTTTGGCATTGTGAACAAAGCCAAAGAAGAGTGTTGACTATAACAGAACTTAATTTAATAAAGTTGTCCATTCAAATCCATCTTTTCGCCACTCATCAATTCAACATTCATCCACTCATTAATTCAACAGACTTTTACCAAGGGTAGACGAAGTGCTGGGTCCTGTGCCATATTGGAAGGATACTATGGTTAAGGAAGATACAGTCTCTTCATTCAATGGGCCCCTAGTTTGAGCTAGGAGACAGTTTAGGAGCAATCACAAGGCATGGTGAAATGTGCCACAGAGGGAGCAGAGAAATTTAGACCCATCAGATAAGTTGGAACTAGTCAGCAAGAGCCATACAGACAAGCTTTCAAGGGGAAGAGAACACTGTGGTCCTTCAAATGACCAACAGAGCTGGTGGTCAAAGGCAGGAAAAAGAGAAATCAAAAAGTCAAAATGGGGAAAAATAAGAAAAGAGAAAAGCTATGTAATAAAAAGGAAATCAGGATTTGAAAATAATCAGTTTTGGAAGAAAGAAATGAGTATTCCCAGAGAGTGTAATAACTCTCATTTTATAAGAATCAGAAAATCCAGAATCTAAATTTTCAAGTTGCAGGTGACTAACTCAGTTTCCTAGACAAGCAAGATCACTAACTCTTTTTTTCTTAATAATTTAGTACATCTTGAATTTTATTTATTTTACTTTTTTATTAAATTTACTGGGGTGACATTGTTGGGTAGAAACTTTCAAAATGGTGATGCATACTAATGTAGGAAGAGGTAGAGAATTTGAGAAAAAGAAGGCTTATAATTCACTAGAATGCCCGTTACAAAGAAATGAAAAATCCTTGTAACTCTTTCTCTCCCTTCTCTCTCTCTCCTTCTCTCTCTCTCTCTCTCTCTCTCTCTCTCTCTCTCTCTCTCTCACACACACACACACACACACACACACACACACACACATCCCCCTTGTACTCTGCCAGCAAAATCTAGAATGTAGGACAAGAGTCTGGGCGGAAAATAGAGTGCCAAACCTAACTGCCCTAAATAATTAATGCCTTCTAATCTTACAGAATGTCCTTCCCAGCTCCTCAAGAAATGTCCAGGGTGGAGGCAGGAGCCTCTCATTACCTTCCACCCTGACTCCAACTTGGACAGAGAGGAAGCTGGGCCCACTACATCATGGAAGAATGAAAGGCTGCATGGCTCGAAATACCCTTAACAGACCAGCAGATGAGCTTAGTTATATCTCAGTGATGTTACTGGATCCCTCCATGGGTACTGCAGGTGAGTCTAGGGACAAACCACTCACAGTATGCTACACACACACACACACACACACACAATACATTCCTGCCCTCGCTGCTGGGTGGCTCAGTTAGTTGGAGCATCCTCCTGAAACCTTGTGGCTTTGATCCCAGTCATATCACCTATGGGAGGCAGACAACCAATCAATGTTTCTCCTTTCTCTAGCATTCTTTTCTCTATAAAAATTAATTTTAACAAATATTCATTCCTAATCAGCTGGTAGAAACATCCCACTCAGTCACAGCATAATGGTTTTATGGGACCTACTACACAGTGGAGTTCATACTTGAGACTGTAGCAGGTACCAACATGTGTGAGAAAATACCTCTGTCTGTACTTTGCATCCCCTATGATGCACTCCCATTGCATAACATCCCTGTGCACTGATGTGTTTTTTTTTTTAAAAAAGCATCCCTCTGCTTTTCAACTTCAAAGGTTCATATGTAAATCGCTAACTTTTATCTCACTAAATACTGCTATCATTTGTGTCCACCTTGGGTGATAGGTAATAACATATTGGTAAGCCATTATAATAACCTTATAGAGAGAACTTGATACTCTTTTTATTTGTGAAGTGATGCAATTCATTCCAATAGTTGAATAAGGATTGTAAAAGTTTTTCAAAATACAGATCTATTTAGTATTGTTTGCCTCTCTTACTCACCTTTCAAAGTGATATTATTGCAAGTGAGTTTTCTTAGCTCAGCTTCAAACTCCAGTGTCTGCCATTAAAACAAGCTAATTATATACCAAAGGGACCAATAGGAAGACTCTAGGATCATTCTTATTTTATCCTTAATTGTCATTTCTACCCATGCCTCCTCCAAACCAAAAATTTCTCATCACTTCTCATAGAAAAAGAAAATTTGAAAACAAGTGGAAAAAATGAGAAGAAAAGAGGCAGTAAAGAAGAGGGGGGTTCTATATTTCAGAAGAAGTAGGGGGAAAAACTGAAAGCTTCTAACTATGGGTTGAAACAGCACCTTTAATCCAACACCTTAGTTTAAACACTTAGGGCACTCAGAAATTAAGACATTTTCCCCACACCATCCCCAGGAATCCATGACCTAAAAGTAAATTAGAACATTGGACTGTGTTGGCTGTGATGACTGTGATGGCTTAAAGATTATCAGAAAGTACTTTAGGAAGGTGGAGGGGTTACAGAAAGCTTTTTAGTTGACGTGATGCTCAAACTCCTCTGGCGGAAGGAAGGGCACAATTCAGGGAGGTAGAGTGGGCTGGAAGGAGGGCTCAGGTTAGAGATTCACAGGACTGCCATTGTCCTCACTCGGTCTCTCTCTTTTTGAAAGAAAATAGTTGTATTGATTTCAGACAGGAAGAGAGAGGGAAAGAGAAATAGAAACATCTATGATGAGAGATAATTATTGATCGGCTGCCTCCTGCTCGCCCCCTACTGGGGATGGAGCCCAGAACCCAGGCATGTGCCCTTGACTGGAATGGAATCTAGACCCTTCAGTCTGAAGGCTGACGTTCTATTCACAAACTTACTAGGGTACTGGTTTCTCTCTGATTGCCCAACGACCAGCATTAACCCTGACAACTGTCTTCTCTCCTCAGAGAATCATCTAAGACCACAGGGCTGGTGCCCGCAAATGTCATTTGTGAAGCTATTATCTCTTTGCTGGTTTTCTAGTCAGCATTACCTGTGGCAACACAACTAAGTTCAGACAGGAACACATAATCTGATCAGTTCTCAAAGAATAAAAGAGCAAATCCTTGTTTGCTAGACAGCAAACCCAAACGCATAGTCTTCAATCATTAATCATGAATAAAACAGTGCACTTCCCTGCGGTGAAACTTCATTTCTCATTCCACCCTACCCACATCTCTAAGGCACCTTTCAGACAAATGAGAGACTTTACACCTTTTTCTAAGAAAACCTTTTAGAGTCGTTTTTACTTAGTCCCTTCAGATGAAACAATGTAATTTTTTTTTTAATTTGGATAAATAGAACCTTCTCTACTCATGTGTTAGCACTGAACAGCCTGGATCAAAATCTTTTAGACAAAGCTGTGATTAAATGCAAGGTTTCCTGTTGTTACCACTTTTTCTCCTAATGACCACAGATATTAGGGCCCCACAAACAGAAATAGTCCTCCTCCGTCTCCTCTGTGTCACACCTTATGAGAGGTTCTCATTAGAAGCCCACTCTCTACTTCACTATTATTAGTACAAAAACATAAGCAGAGATATCCAGGCTATGAATTATTGTAAAAATAAATAAATAAATAAATAAATAAATAAATAAATAAATAAAAAATAAAAAAGACAGTTACAGCATGGAGATATTTCAAAGCTCAGCAACACACTGCTTTTCATTTTTTAGAGAACCTTTGATTCTGAATATGCTTACCAACTTCTCAAATTGCCTAATATTACTAAACAACGACAACAAACTCAGGCTTCTCACCATTGCCACTAAAGTTGCCAAATATCATTGATAATAATGGAAATATAATCAATAAGGAGTATTTCCTGCCAGCAGAATTTTGGAGGATCTATTACATTACATTGTGGTCTCTAGCTTTTGTTCTTGGCTTGGGAGTTGACATGTAATTTATCACTAGGGTTCTAGATTGTTTACTGTAAAAAAAATAGAAAATATTAGTTTGTAAATATTCATTCATTTCATTCATTCATACATGTCTATTCAGCATTGCTGTGACTCCCTGGGATAAAAATCCCAGCCATAAGCATTAAATATATTCAGTGCAAGTTATTTTTTATAAGAATCAGGATTTGTTCAGCAATCAGTAGGCATATTTCACATAAGGTAAAGAATAATGCTTTCTTATCCAATATGTTGGCCAACATTATAAATGCTACCTTCCGGTGATCTCGAAGATCACTTTACAACTGTGTAGACAACAGAGATTGGATATGGGAGCTCATGATACCTTCAAGGAAGTGCAGGAATCTATGGTTTTACTAAGCAAGGAGATGTTTTTCTGTCAAGATCCCAAGATCTCACCCAAGAGCTTCGAGGATAAAAAGGTGCAGAGGCTGAAGGGAAGGTGGGGGTCATAGCCATGCAGTAGAAGAAAAGCTGTAATTGAAGGCAGATGAATGCTCCCTCAGACAGCTCCAGGGACTGTCCATTGATTTTAGGGAGCCTGGTAATACTTAGAAGCCTAGAATGCATAAGAATTGCCCAGCATGTGTAAGAATGCCACTTACCTCCTCCCACAGCACTTCGAAGGCCTTCACTGCTGGCTCCAGTTCCTCCTGCCTCCTCTCTCCTAAGACTCCTCACCCCTCCCATCTCACCTCTGTCAAGGTTCAGGGAAAATGTCCCAGATGTCCCATTGGCTCAACCCCAAGGGAGAGGTTGGTAACAGCATCAGTGACAATAATTTATGAGAAGTCCCTCCCCTGTCCCAGACTGTACTCAGAGGGAAATCAGAGAACCCGAGATATCAGATGGGCTTCCTTGTCCACCTAAGGAAGGCTCATGGCATCTCCCTGCTCAGCTGGAAGCAGAGAGCAGGGCCATGGTGCATGTTATTCATCTAACTCCTCATTCATGAAGAAGCAAACCCAATAACTCACAGAAGCAAAACATTTGAAAGACTCTCCTTTCGCATTCTGATCTACACTGTATGTACCTGGACATAGGGAAAATTATAGGTTAAGAGTCAGGAATCAGAGCTAGCAGCATAGAACACAGGAAAAAGGTAAACATGAGAGTGATCCAGAGTCAAGATGAGCCAAGCAGCAGGTAAAAAACTTAGCTAATCCTGTGCTCCACCCAGGACAGAGGTTTTATCCACTCCCAAGACAGTCATTATCTAGGGTTCAAATGGTGTCCCTGATATATGGAGTGACTCAAGACCAGATCTCATGATAAGCTTGCCACATACTGATGGGTTTGTCAATAACACATGGCAATGCGCAACTCTGGAGAAAGGCTGACAGCCCACATACACAGCAGAGACCATCGACTCCGAATCAAACATCAGGATGGGTCTTCCAGAAAGTGAACTTCTGCTGGCAGAACTCAGAAGATGTGGCGTAGTTGGGAAAACTCCATCTTCTCATCTTGTACCTGGGTGACTTTTGGCAAGCTGATCAGGCTCTCTATGTCTTGCTTTCCTCATTTGAAAAAATGGAGAGAATTATAATGAAGCTATGGTTGAAAGGGTCATAGGTAACATGTATAAAGTACTTAGTGTATTCAGTTGATCCTTGAACATTGAAGGAATTAGGGGCACTGATGCAATGTACTCAAATATCTATATGTAACTTTTGCCTCCCTGAAAACTTAACTACTAATAATTCACTTGCAAATATCCATCAATCACATGAGCTGTGACCTTGAGGCAGTAAGTGATGGAGTCCCTACACTCTACACCTAGACATGAGAAAAGAGGACAAAAGTAGAGGGGAAATGATGAGGCAGCAAGACCAACCCAGAGTGGCTTTCTATTATTCTCCTCTGTCACTGCAGATTGGTGGCATCATGGAACCTAGAAATTCATTTAAATATAAGAGCGGGAAACCCCTAAAAGGGGGGATTTCCTGAGGTGGCAAGCCATCTCTTTAGAGTCAGTAGTTGCCTGACAACAAATGGTGCTGAAAACTAAAAGTACTAGAAGTTATACCAAGCTATACATCATTGGCAACGTTTTAGAAAAGTGAATTTCCAAAGTGGTTTTGTCAAAAATGGATGGGATCCCTGGCCACCGAGTGTCTTGAACCAACCTCAAGGCTTTGGAAAACAACAAATATGACAAGACAAAAGCAAAACAAACATATCAAAACAGACATGACTGCATGGAAATGAGTTCTCCCCACTAGACCTGTCCATGATCTGACTCTCATATTCCGCCCTGACATTTGCACTGCTAACTTAGCAAATAGAAGTATCGACAGTATCTATAAAGGGATCCAAAAACTAAAGTACGTGCAAGAACTCTTCATAGAAGATTGAAGAATATAATTGAGAAAAGTAAAAGAAAACTTAAATGGTAGGATATATCATGTCTATGTGTTGAAAAACTAAATGTTGTAAATATGTCAATTCCCTCAAATTTTCCATAGGTTTGCTTTTGTTATTCTAAACACAGTTCTTTTATTTGTATGTATTTGTAAAATGACAGGCTGATTCTAAAATTTACATTAAAATAAAGGGACAATCTTGAAGTATATAAACAAAGTTGCAACCTCACAATAGCAGGTGACAAATTTTAAAGCTACAGTAATTAAACAAATGATAGGAGTGCCAGGATAGACAAACAGACCAATAGTACAGAAGAAAGAAGCCAAGAACTTATCAACCAATTTGATCTTCACTTAAAATAAAAAATGCCATTAAATAGAAGATGAAGAGGGAGAGAGGTGTCTTTTCAACAAATGGCTCTGAACGAACTGAATATCCATACTTTTCTTTAAAAATGAAGTTTAAGTGATACTTCACAGCATGTGCAAAAACAAATTCCAGATGAATTGCAGGTCTTATTGATAACTAACACCAAAATTTCTAGAAGATAGAATATATTTGCTAACTTGGCATAGACAAAAATTTCTTGAACTGCTCACAGAAAGCATGGGTTAAAAAGATCAGTAAATTGACTTAATTAAAATTAAGAACTTCTGATTATCAAAGGGACACCTTCAAGAGAGAGAAAAGACATGCCACCAAATGGTAGAAAATATTTGCAATAAGTATTTGTGACAAAGACCAGTCATCTTAAATTAATAAAGTAGTCCTACAAATCAGTAATAAGAGAAAAGACAACCCAATAGAAATATGTGCAAAAGATTTGAACAGGAAATTTTCATGCATTGCTGGCAGAAGTATACATTGGAAAACCCACTTTGGGATAATAGTTTTTGGCACTATCTACTAAAGCTGATCTTAAGTCTGTGCTGAAGCTGTTTTAGTCCTCTCAGCACATACTCCACAGAAATGTGTACCAAATTAATCACAGATTCTGCTCCTCTCATGGTTCCCACTCTGCATATTTAGTGTCACATTCTGCAAATTCGAAGAACCTAACCTCTTTCAAATTCAGGTATATGCAAGTGAAAGTTTGACATTCAAGGATATTGTCTAGAGATTCTATTGAGAAACCTTAGCGATGTCTTTGTTTTACATGTATGGTCTTTTCTCATAAAGGCGGGTGCATAGAAAGTCTGGAAGGTGGATGTGAGGAATCAAGGGGGAAAGTACCCCCTCAACTATTAATCTTAAATTATCACCTGCCATCTAGTGATAGGATGGGGAACTACAACAATATATCTACAACCTCTAAATTAATGAGTCAGCTAAAAAAATGTTTAGGGATACAGGATTTTAAGAGGAGCTGTGGCAGAAGCAGTCTCTAAATTGAAACTAACCTCTCCTCCAAAGTCCACAAAGGTGCTGAGTAACATATAGCAATAGCACAGAGGAAAAAGCATGGACTCAAATCTTGGCTCTACAACTAACAGTGTGACATTAGACATGTTACTGACATTCTAGGTCAGAGTGACCAGATGACATCTATACAGTTATGGGGATCAAATTTATAAAATACTTAAAATGGTTCCTGGCATGTAGTAATCCTATATAATAAAGAGGTAATATGCAAATTAACCCTCACATCCTCACAAGATGGCTGTCTATGACCAGGCCCGCAGGGGGTTAGTGAGGGATGACCAAACAACTGAACAAGCAGCTGAGTGGGGTGACCAAGCCAGCAGAGGGGGGCAGTTAGAGGCAACTAGGCCAGCAGAGGAGGGCAATTGGAGGTGACATGGCTGGCAGAGGGGGCAGTTGGGGGCTATTAGGCCAGTAGGGAGGGAGAAGTTGGGGGCAACCTGGCTGGCAGCAGGGGGAAGTTAGGTGCAACCAGGCCAACGGGGGAGCAGTTAGGGGTGATCAGACTGGCATGCAGAGTCAGTGAGGGATAATAAGGCCAGTGGGGGGAGAGGGGGTTGACCAGGCAGGCAGGTGAGCAATTAGGAGCCAGGCTTGTGAGAGGGATGTTCCCCAAAGGGTCCTGGTTTGGAGAGGGTACAGGCGGGGCTGAGGGGATCCCCCATGCACGAATTTCATGCACCAGGCCTTTAGTACTTCAATAAATGGTAGTTGTCATTAATGTCAATCTCATGGTTTTTCTATAGCACAGATATGTCTTATATACATCTCATGTTATTGTCTCACCCACTAGGAGGAGCTCATGACATACCAATTGACACATAGGTTGTACCTTGAGTGTAAAAGCTGCATAAAATTCAGCTGAATAACTGGACAAATCAGTTAGATTATTTAATACAATGAGGTTTAACTCTTGACCGTCCATACCAATTTTACTTGATTTGAATGGTGTCCTAACAAACCAGCAACCACTAAAAAGCTCAACTCCCTGTTATCAACTCAGACAGGCTGAAATTCCCCTGACACTTGTGAAAATTGTTGCAGTGAGTCAGCTGATCACAGTGGTCATTGACTTTCGTAAACTGTAACTTATATGTTATGAGGAACCCAGCTCAACACAAGGTGAAGTGTAAACCATCTAAAGTATATGGGAGTATACAGGCTCTTTCATCTCCTTTATCAGAAAAGACCATGTAGAAACAAAACATTTGTCCACAGTGCAGCCTGGGACCATTTTAATTTAATTATAGAACAATCCTATTAGAATTGTCTGCTGAACTCCACTGATGGTCAAGTTCATTGCATTATATAAAACTTATCTAATTTGTTTATTTTTAAAATATGTTTTTATTCATTTCAGAGAGGAATGGAGAGGGAGAGAAAGACAGAAGCATCCATGATGAGAGAGAGTCATTGATCAGCTGCCTCTTACACTGGCCATACTGGGGATCGAGCCCACACTGGGCATGTGCCCTGACAGGGAATTGAACTGAGAACTTCTGGTTCATAGGTCAACGCTCAACCACTGAGCTATGCTGGCCAGGCAAGCCTATTTTATTTAAACTGATGGTCTTCACTTTCCAACTCCAGAACATAATAGGCACTCAAAACATTGAAGCATTAAAGGGATGAATTCCTTAATTCATTCAACTGATATTTAATGACTATTTACTATGCTCTAGGCATTGTTTGCACTGGGTCAACAACACACAAAAAGTTTAAAAAAAAAAAAAGAAAAGAAAAAAAAAACCCTGACCTCATCAACTTCATATAATAATGCGAAGAGATTCTCCATACACAAAATAAATAAATAAAATGTGTAATTAGAGCAACAGGTGCTAGTGAGAAAAGTAAGACAGGGAAGAGTCATGCAAAAATTCAGGCATGCATGAAGAAGTGTTGAGGAAGCACACAGGAGCCTATTTGCATCCTAGAAAAAATTTATGCTCAGGAGGAAATTCAGAGTGTCCACGACCCAAGGACAGCGATTCACTTTTGGAGTCAAAGGGCAACTGTGCAAGTAACCCACCTGGGTGCTTGAGCCTAAGTCCCAGGGAGAAAAGCCCCCATGGGACAGTTTGAGTAGCCTCTCCTTGAACAAGGCCAGAGACCTGCTTGGAAATTATGGGATGGAATAGCCAATATCCATAGATGGGAGAGTTTTCCTATTCCAGCTTCCACTTCAAGCACTGAAATACCTCATGGGCCCTTTGGGCAGGAACAGCAGTTCTAGAAACTCAGGGAGTCCTCGCCTAATGCAGTTCTGGACGTAGTACCAACAGATGGCAGCACCTTTGTGGACTTGTTGGTGAAGTCATAGGTTTTCCTACAGCTCTGTGGCAATAGAGGGAAAGGGATAGATTCCACACTAAGCCAACCATGAATTGGGGAAAAGCGGGGAATCCCAAACAGGATTTGGGGAACCAGGGAAGTGAGGCATGAGACTTTGAAGGACCCACAATATTCAATGAGATTCAATAAAGAGACTTAGTTTCGTGTAATCTGAGAGACACAGGGTATACAAAAATCATACAAAGATTTAATTAACAGAAAGCAGTATTTAAAAAAAATAAATCTGTAGATTGCATATGGAATTTGGAAACCCTGCCAAAGCCCAGTCTGGTAAATGTCAGCCAACAGCTTTATTATGTCTTAACAAAGGATCTTTTCAACATGATGCTGAAGGTGCTTGGGGACCAGACTGGGGAATTCTTGGCATAAATGTCAGAGCTGTTGTGGCTGACTCTGACTCATGTCCATATTACTGGACAATTCCATCACTCAATTAAGCATTCCAGTGGCGCCTTTCACTGTCACACCTAAATTGTCAAAGATGCTATCAACGTGTAACCAAAATAAACCATGAGCTGGCTGTGAAACTGCCCCAGTCCTACAAAAGTGATTATTGACATGGAAAATAGTCTTCTGTGATTTAATCCATGCAGTTTATAATGCCTCTTTCCCATCACGAAGATGGCCATTTGGAAACCCAAGTGATAATTGTCCTCTTGACCAGGAGTTCAACCAGCAGGCAGGCCGGCCAACTGCCCATGTCCCCTCCCCTCCCCTTGGCCAGGCTGGCTTACTTCACACATGCACGAACTCATGCACTAGGCCTCTAATATATATATGCCAGATTATTATATGTTCAGAGAGCATAATAATCCACTGGCCACTCAATATGTGTGTGTGTGTGTGTGTGTGTGTGTGTGTGTGTGTGTGTGTGTGAGAGAGAGAGAGTATGTGCATGGAGGGGAAGTGTTGTGTCCCTCAGCCAAGTCTGCACCCTCTCTAATCTGGGACCCCTTGAAGGATGTCCAACTGCCCGTTTAGGCCCTATCCCTAACTGGGATCAGGTCTAAACAGGCTGTTGGACATACCTTCACAATCCAGGACTGCTGGCTCCAAACTGCTCAACTGCCTGCCTACCTAATTGCCCTTAACCACTTCTGCTTTCCAGCCTGATTAGCCCCTAACCATTCCTTTGCCAGTCTGATTGATGCCTACCTGCTCTCCTGCTGGCCTGATTGCCCCTAACTGCCCTCCCGTGCCCACCTGGTCACCCTTAACTGCCCTCCTGGTCACCCTTAACTGCCCTCCCCTGCCAGCCTGGTTGCCCCTAACTGTCCTCCCCTTCAGGCCTGGTTGCCCCCAACTTCCTCCCCTGTTGGCCCAGTAGCCCCTAACTACCTTCCCTTGCCAGCCTGATTGCCCCTAACTGCCTTCCCCAACAGGCCTGGTCCCCCCAACTGCCCTCTCCTGCAGGCCTGGTCCCCCCAACTATCCTCCTCTGCAGGCCTGGTCACCCCTAACTGCCCTCCCTCCAGGCCTGATCACCCCCAACTTCCCACCCTTTCAGGCCTGGTCCCTCTCAACTGCCCTCCTATGCTGGCTTGATCACTCACAACTGCCATTCCCTGCCAGCCATCTTGTGGTGGCCATCTTATTGTCCACATGGGGGTGGCCATCTTGTGTGTTAGAATGATGGTCAATTTGCATATTACTCTTTTATTTTATATATATATATATAATATAAAACATGGTGCTGGAACATAGGAAATGAACAATGAAAGGACCAGAATCTTTTAAAGTCATCACTCTGGGGTAGCAAATCTGGTGTTTGGCTGGAGGTATATGTATCTTTTGGAGTCTGGCTATGCTGAGCTGAATGCCTCACTGAGCTCTGCTTTCTCTATTGATACAAAGAGGAAACATGTGCCACCAGCAGAAAGAGATCAAAAGAGAGTCTATTATTCAATTTAGGGTCTGAAAAAAAATTTGGCCAAAAGTTCCACTAAAATGGCTTCAAATAACATAAGGCATTTCATGTATTTATTATAGTCAATACAGAAGTTTGAACTAAAATTCAGGATGTTACATTTACAAATGCAAGGAAAATGACAATATTTTAAAATCCAACCAAAATGGGAACCCTTTGATTGGTTTACTAGAGGTGGAGTGGTCACTTATTCAAGAACTCACAGATATACACAAGTCAAGAAAATGTAATTGTTTAAAATTTCCCTCAATGACTTGATTATGTCACCGGACAGTACTAAAATGAGGCCCCAAAGAGAAGAGAGCCAGAAAGCCATTTTCTGTAAATATACATTCTTCCATGGTTATCATAACCTTAGGGTTCAGTAACTCATGGAATTAGTTGGGAGAGATCCTAGACCCATTTTTCAGACAAGCAAACTTGGGCACAAAGGTGTGATAGGTGGGAACTGCTCTGAGTCATGGGTTTATCCCTGTACCTCCTTTGTGACTCTGAGCCTTGCTCAACCCCATTTGCTTAGGGAGAGGCAAGTTTGCCACAGAAAAGAATGGTGTTGGTGCCAGTGTGCCTTATGAAGAACAGGAAAGGATGGTTCGCCATGAACTGAACTCGGATGGGGAGTCGTTTAATGACAAAGTTGTCCCCAGTGGCTGCTGCTGCCTCTGTGCCCTCTTCGTTGACATCCACATATGACTTGTGGATGACCTTTGATACATACAGCCCCTTGGCTGGTGACATTCCAGACAGATCAGCTTTACTCTGGTGGAAGACATCTGTCATCCCGAGAGATTTTAGCAGGGAATTCAGCTCATACTTGATCTCCAGTTTGAATCGGGGCAAATGGACTTCGACGTCCCTTTCCTTCATGTTGGAGGAGCTGGTCCATTTGCGAAATGTCTTCACATTCAGCCTCTTCTCTATCTAAGAGAAAACACAGATGGATCCACAAGAGCCAAGCACACACCTCCACATTAATTGCTGTCTGTTTTATAATTTTCAGAGTGAATTATTCAATTCCACTGACTTCTCTTCTATCTTTAAACTGTGCTCAAGTTTTACCTGAGAAAGAAAAGAATCCTGCATTTATCCACATCTTCCATTTTCTATTGTCTACTTCTCATCGATATTTCATAATTAAACTTATCCAATGTGTGTTAATGTGCAGGCTTTACCTAAACTCTAATGCCTCTGCAATTGTGTTCTCATTTCCTGGAAGAACTCAAGTACTTCTTGGTTCTCATATCTGAAACATTTAGTAGCAATCTCCATTATGAACTCGTTTGTCACTTGGCTTCTGTGACATGGGGACCTCTTGTTCCACTCCACTTTAATCTCCTCCTGTCCCCACTCTTAAAGTTGACCTCTGGGTGCCTACACTTAAGTCAATTCCCACATCCCTGCTCAGATTTCCCAAAGCAGCCTCACAACTCTGACTTATTCTCCACCCAGTTCCAGACGTTTTTGTAAACTCTTTACACTTCTGACCTTGGACGTTTGAAACTCTCTACAGACCTCCCCACAGCTCTAAACTAGCATGGCAAACCCCATCATTCCTCTGCTACAAGAGTTGAAGACTTTTGGATCACCTCACCATCCCGACAATATCAGATCAGTGGTTTCGCTTTCTATCTTTTCCTTTTGTCTTTTTGTACCCTGATCCAAGTTACCACAACTTCATGACACAAAGTCATTTCATTGCCTCATGCTTCTAAGGCCTTTGCAGGTGCTCTTTGCTCTGATTAGAACAGCACCCATGTATGTACAAGAGCTATTGCAAAGGCCCAGAAGCTCAACTGGTCTCCTAGGCAACAGTCATGCTGGCAGAGCACTTTACAGTCCCAGCAAAGCTGGGAGGAGCTGTGGTCACTCCATAGCAGTGTCTTGCCTGCTCTATGACAGGCAACTCTGATAGCAGCCAGGAAGAAGGGTCAAACTCAAACTTGGCCCAACATCTTGACCTCTTCTCAGTGGCTGTGGCTCTCATTTCCCCTCAAAAGCAAGATGCTAAACATGGTGGTCGGCCCACAAAAACATGCAATTTTTGGATCAGCAATACTGCTCCTGAGAGGAAGATGACTTCATTAGATGTTCACAGCCTGGGAGCCCAACCTGCATTATAATTTCATTACAACGGTGTTTCTTCAGTGTCAAATGATCAATATGTGTGTGCAGCATGGCCCTTTTGCTACCAGATAGATGCCTTTTTAAATATAACACCAGGTTGTTTTCCCTAAATACATTAGACTGAAGGCAGGGGCCAGGAATCCCTCCTTTCCTCTCACAGTCCTTGGGCCAATGCTGCTAAACCAGCTCTTGTCAAATTAGTGCTGGCTGCACTGATATTGTGGGATACACAAAGTGTGGAGGGTGTGTGTGTGTGTGTGTGTGTGTGTGTGTGTGGTGCATGTGCATGAGAGTTTTTTCTGCTGTCAGCATTCCTGTAACATACCTGTTCTAGAGTCACCCTGCCCGTGGGAAGCAGGATGATCATGCTTAGTTTGTCCTGCACGTAGGGCAACTCAAGCACTTGCATCTGCGGCTCCTTTATGAAGGCCAGTTTAAACCTTCCCGCTTGATACATCATTTCCACAATTACGCTCTTACCCTATGTTTTTGAAAGATTGTAATTAGACAATAATTAAACATGTGTGTGCACATGCATGTGCTCTGATTTTCTTGCATTACAAATCTCTACACTAACATTCTAAACACATGGGTAAAATATCAACTACAAAACACACACTTATTGCTTTCCTTTGAAAAGATTATGATTTTATATTTCAATATAAGTCCTGGTGAGAGCCAAATTGTTTGAATAATGAAAATAGTAATAAAAACAATAATATAGATGTTTCCCAAAAAAAGCCAGGGTTTCCCGATAAAATGAGTTATATAGGAAAATGATATCATGGGATCATTTCCTTTTTAATTCAATTGGCTATTTTTTAGCAGAAAAATAATAGTTGTGTTGTGCCCCTAGAGCAAATAGCCATAGCATATATGGAGAGAACACTCAGGTAGGAGAACAGCCAGGAAAGAACAGGCTTTCTCTTCTTCCGGGACACCCCAATGTCCAGAGCCTCCACTCAGGTGCCTCTGAGAAAGGTTATTGTCATTTCATAGGGAAAATGAAAATAAAATTCATAGACTACACAGTTAAAAGTACCTACAGAGATCTAGACGAGTATTTCCACTAAAACTTCCTAACCTGTCCATAAAAGTTATTGCAGTCTCCAAAATGTACCATCGATCTGAAAATGAAACACGTACCTCACTTAGCTGAAAAGGGGTTTTAATTGTCTCTCTTTCCTGAAATTTATTTTGCCATTGTCCTTTGAAATATATGGCATTCACCAGGACCATCACAGAAGAAGGGTCAATTGTGTCCTTTCCAAAAAGGTTTGTAATTTTTCCTTTTAATAAGAAAAAGAATAGATAATAGATTTGGATTTAAACTTATTGATAATAGTTAGTCACAATAGCTAATATTAGTGATATATATATATATATATGTATATATAAGCATATTATATTTTAAATTGATAAATATATAAATGAATTATTAAATAAAAGCAATACTCTAAATAAACACCCAGCATGTGAATCCCTAATGAACACCCAATGGCAGATAACACCAATCAATCTATTCATTTATTCTAAAGATATTTTAAGAGACTTCTGTGTGCCAGGCACTGTTCTAGGCACAAAACTGAGCCTAGAACACTAAACTGAACAAACAAAAATCCCTATTATCCTTAACATCCTAGTGATTCTACTGTGAGCTTTTTCAGGTATCTTTAGTTTAAGTTTCAGACTCTTTCTCACCACAGAGTTCCCAGGCAGCCACTAGCAGTGGACCAGAGCTGGCATGTGAGATAAAACATATTATCCTCTACTGTTCTAAATAAATTAACATGTCAAAAAAAATGTGTGGAGTTTTCCATGCATTTTCTAGTAGTATAAAGTCCTAAATTGGTACATATTTTAATCTGGTCACCTATAACTGAATTTGAATAACATCCATCAATTGACAAGATACTTTTGAGAGTCACTGCTGTTAAATTATATAATTGACACAAATATGTTAGCAATAAAAGTCAGAGAACTCTTAAGGTCTGGGAATGGGGTGGGTAAGTTTCTGGGAGGAGACACGAGGATGACCCTGGGAGTGTCCTTCCCAGTAACTAATATTTGCTTTCCTGACCTGGGTGGTGGTACACCAGAGTATTTATCATTGTGATAATTCATTGAGCAGCAAACACATGCATATACTTTTCTAAATATACACATATTTCAATCAAAATGTTTATTAAAAACTCAAGCTCTAAGGTACATATTAGATAACCAATTGCAATATGCAAACATTATTTGGATTCTGATTCAAACAAAAAAAGAGGCAACTGGGGGAATAAGAAAATTCATTAAATATTTGTTAATATTAAATAATTTTTTTTAATTTTCTAGGTGTAATAATGGCATAGTGTTCATACTTTTTAAAAGCCTATATTTTTGACAGGCACAAACTGAAACAGAGAGAGAGAAATAAGATATTGGTATTGGCTCCCAAACAATCTGAAAGAGGTGGGAAAAGGGCATGCCTATACTAAATAATATTGGCTTAAGTAATAAGTATTGCAGCTGAGTGATGGATGAATAAGGATTCCTTCTAGTTTCTCTTTTTTCTTTAATTTTTCCCTTACCTAGATTTTTTTAAAGAAATGAACACATCTTTGATATGAACATTTAAAAAGAAATATTTAACAACACATATGCAAAATTGTGAAAGGTAGATTTAAATTTAATTAAACTTACTGGCAGAATGTATGACAATACTTCCCTAATGGAGAAACAGTGTTCTTTTCATTCTCAGAATCACTTGGCTAGATCATTGAGGACAATGGATATAAGAGATTTTACAAAATATTCCCCCACTTCATCCACTGTTAGTTTGTTGTGTCTATTTCTGGACCTCACCCTGCTTCTTTGTTAACACTGACTCAGGGAGTTTACCAGCACAAATCAAGTTTGGAGACATACATGTGACTTATCCTCACCATTAGTTTTGCTTTCAACCCAAGCATTAATAGTTTGCCTGGTTTCTTCTGCAGACTTTTGAAAATCAACAACTTGAGGCCTGGCTTGATACAGTTTCTCAGAACAACTTAAAAATTGCTGTAAAAGAAAGGATAACTGCATAAGAACACAAAAATAATGTAAGGAAAACAAATATCTCCAGTTCAATGTATTCTAAAATCATAACAGACAAAAGCATTTTGTGCATATATGTCGGAAAGGGAGCAGAATCCATACAAAGACATTTAATCAAATCAAAAAAACTTTCCCAAAAAAATGTTCAGGAATTTTTTATTGCTACTTCTGTCATCTCATGGACATTCTTAGCTTTAAAATGTTCAAAGCAAAATGACAAATTGCAGTAGAGCTTCTATCTTTTCATGCTATCCTTCTAATTTCCTCTTCAAAGGACACAAACAAATGGGAGTTACTGCTCTAATGTTCACACAGGAAAATTGAGAACCAGAGTGATTAAATGGTTTCCTTGTTTGAGGTCTAACAAAAGATTAGGTCTCCACATGCTATATTTCAACCTCCATATGAGCCACCACAAGTAAAATTAATAATAGTATTCTCTGGTGTAGACATTGACATTTTGTTCAACTTTATATAAAATCACACTGGTCAAACAAAAGCTAAGACACTAAAGCCAGCAGATCACCTCAATTACAGCAGGATGACGTAGCAATGAAAAACAGGAATGTGGATTTGGACAGGGATCAAATTCTGGCTTTGTCACTTAGTTATCTCTGTGACCTTTCTCAACTTGACTTTTCATTATTTGCTTCACAATTGTGGCATTAATGACAATTTTGTACCTACATCTTAGGACTATGTAAGGACTATATAAGATAATGTTTATAATGTATGTAGTAGAGTGATTGACACATAGTAAATATTCAATAAAATTCCATATTCCAATGGTATTGAGAAATAGCATAAATAGTGTTAGAATTTTGTAGAAAAAAAAACAAAAAACAAAAAACAAAAAAACTTGGTCTAATCCTCTCATTTTAAATGTAGAAGTGACTTGCTCAAAGTCATATGTCTACAGGAGAACAGAACTCAGATCTCTTGGCTCCCAGTCCAGTGTACTTTCCACTAATTTTTGAAACTCTGCCTCTCAGGACCTTTGAAGAAGAGATGAGAAATGGATTTTTGATTTTTTTATTCTGGCCCATAAGGGTTAATTCTTACCTGCTTTGTTTTGTACTTCATTCTTAACATTGTTTCTTGGACAACTTTGGTGATATTGCAGAAGTAATTTTTTTTTTATGTAATATTTCATAACCTTAAATGGGGGCTTGGTGAAACCATTTCATTGAAACTCTAACAGGTTCAAATGTAATCTCTAAAGATAAATGTGACTCTTCTCATTTGTGATTTATCTTATGGTGTGAAATTCAGAGGATATCAAGAAAGATGTTGACCACCAATCCAAATGGACATACCTGATAGAATGGCATCGTCTGTGTCCCGTAGAGTCTGTTAGCGATGCTTAGGGTATAGTTAGAGTCTGGCTGGTTGATTTGAGATAATAGGGCTCCAAACTCTGAGTGAATCCTTCCAGTTTGGCTGCACTAAAGAATGTAGTATAAAGTTGCTAGATTAAATTGCTTGATTTATAGAAGAGTTATAAATGACATGAAAACAACAAAGAAAGTTGAAAGCATTTTTCTTCTCTAATTTCCTCTGGCACAATAATCTCAGCTCTCTATGACCCTGGTTACAGAGTGTGTGCAGAACTGTAAGCTATTGCAAACGCACATGCACTCCCAGCCCCAATGTTTTAATTCAAAACTCAAATTATCATAAATAAAGAGATCCTAATGGGATATTTAGGGCAATAATCTAAGTTTTCTGTGCATTTTTTTTCTGCCTTTGTACCTATAGAATCATTTTTCTTTTCTCTCACACTCCTTTCAATATCTCCATATCTGTGACCACTTATTAGAATTCTTCAGCTCTCCCTGAACTGACCTTCCACGCCCATCTGTCCCTCACAGGAGGAATCTGGTTAAGCATGCAGCTTTGATGCATCAGAATTCATGGACAGTAGAGGGGTTATGCCTATATTCCCTAAAGCAAAGATTCCCTAACAATAAATTAGATTCTATGAGAAAAGTATTTTGTGAATCTATACACATTTATATGCTTTCTGTTGGTCACAGTCAACACACAACTATTGTCATGTGAGAGTTCTCTATAAATTTCATTTCTAAAGAAACCATCTTACTGGAAGGAACTAAGAACAGGTGGGCTGGGCAGCATCGAGCCCTGTTTTCCTGGTGTATAATTATGTGACAAAGCCTCCGTGTCTTTTCTCAGTCCCCTCACTAGTCTGAAAAATGAAACACTGCACATGGCAGGCTCCACATGGCACATAGTTTGTAAAAGAACAGAAAAGTTTGAGAAAGGATGACAGTAAGTCATCTGATAAAATCTGGGGTCTTTAATATTGTCATCATTATCATTATATTAACTCTGTAGACTGTAGCAATTATCAGGAAGATTGAAGGAGGATACCAAGGAGGACATTGTAAGCGTCCTTAAGGAACAAGAAGGGGCTCTGCTACTCAACCCCTGCACCGTTATCTCTTGGTGCTCTCACAAAGAGCGCTTGACAGCTCAGCAGTCATACCTTAGCTGAGTCCTTAAACTCTGGCTTTAATGATTCTGCAATATGATTAAAGTGAAGCACCTAGAAGATGAAAGAAGAATCAATTGGCATCAAAAGCAGCATATAGTCTATAAAGGTTAAGTACCTGTTTTTCCATTTCAGAAAAGGCCAATGCAATAACTAACATTTAAAGATGTTAAAATCCAAGTCCTGAACTAAGCATTTACATATCTTTTTTTAATATATATTTTATTGATTGTTTACAGAGAGGAAGAGAGAGGGTAGAGAGTTAGAAACATTGATGAGACAGAATCGTTGATCAGCTGCTTCTTGCACACCCCCTACTGGGATTGTGCCCTCAACCAAGGTACATGCCCTAGACCAGAATCAAACCCGGGACCTTTCAGTCCACAAGCCAATGCTCTGTCCACTGAGCCAAACTGGTTCTGGCTAAGCCTTTACATATCTTAACTCTCACAGCAACTTTATGAGTAGATACTATTATCCCCATTTTTTGCTAGAGAAATTGAGCCAAAGAGAGATTGAGTGGCATGACTGGGACCACTGTCTGTGAGGGTCCAGGATTGAGTTGTCATTCACTAGACTCTTCTCCCCTCTCCTTCCTTTCTCACTCTATTCACTATGACAGAGCCTATCCAGGGCCACGTAAAACATTACATGGTTCTCCAGCACAATACCTATTTTAAATGCAAAAATAAGTCATGAAAGTAGTACATCAAAATATGGGGGAAAAGACAAATAATAATGGAATGTGCAAGTATCCTGGAAGTTGTTAAATGATATTCTTCTAGGCTTTTCACATCAATAAACTATATACATAATGAAAAATCACTGTATATTGGCCTGTGTAACCTGAAAAGTCACCCTTCCTCTCTTAGCCTCAGTTTCCCCAACAAAATGAAATAAGGATAATAATAGCTACTTGCCACACAGGGTTATTATGACATTCAAATACATTAATGAATTTTTTAAAAAAAACTCAATAATTCTTAAAGTAATATTAAATTGTACTATAAGCCGAAACTGGTTGGCTCAGTGGATAGAGCGTCGGCCTGCGGACTGACAGGTCCCGGGTTCGATTCCGGTCAAGGGCATGTACCTTGGTTGTGGGCACATCCCCAGTAAGGCAGCTGATCAATGTCTCTCTCTCTCATCGATGTTTCTAACTCTCTCTCTCTCTCTTCCTCTCTGTAAAAAATTAATAAAATATATTTTTAAAAATTGTACTATAAATTAAACTTCTAGAGAGCAAGAATAGTATTGTATATGTACTTTCTGTTATGTTTAAATCATAGAAGGGAAGAACTCTAAAAGTAATTGTGGAAATGTATGTGTGAAACCACTGGTGGTGAGGAAGAGACTGTGTATACATGTATTGTATTATTGTCATTATGATGCTTTACATTATTTAAGCCATTATCCACTTTAAAGAAATATGATTTGTCCAAGTGTGTTCTTTCACAAGATGAAAGTTTTCTTGGTATAAAGATGTAAGGAATTTGGCTGACCCCTAGGGGGCACAGGTAAAACTTCCAGACTCTGGGGACATCTTTGGTGTATTCCATACCTTTTCTATCTGTTCTGCACTGTTTCCTCTGGCACCAAGGAGTATCATACTTAGAGCATAAAGCAGACTCAGTGGGGAAAAGAAGATATTATCTTCAGCATGGTTATTGTTCAGCTCTTTGAAAACATCAAGGCAAAATTCAACATTTGTTGTGCTGAGAAAATCCATTTTAGGACCAGCACTACCTGAGAACAGAAGGGAAAACAGCTCAGAATATTATTTGGAGATATAGATAATACATTGAGTTTAGTTATTACATTCCATGAATTAAACAGCCTGAGCACATTGCTTCAGAAAGTAGAAAATGCTAGAGAGGGGAATTCACAGTAGTTTTAGATTCTAATGAATAGAAGATTTACTATTCTTTTCAACCAATGCTTCAAAGCTATCTTTTGTTCACATCTAAAAGTGATCTGTGATTGTTCTGGTGCAAAAGAGCAGAAGGAATTCGATCTTTGTGCTCTGAATTTTCATGTTTAATGACACCCCCCACAGAAAAATTCTTGAGCTACATAGACTCAGCTAAATGAGGTGCTTTCCCACTAGACTGTCCACTGTCGCAAGGAGAGAACACTTGCATCCTGGTCATTCATGAGTAAACAATGTGAGAATCAATAAGGCAAACTCAGGCAACCTTCTCTGCTCATTTCCTCCATGAAAATAAAGCAATACTAGCAAATAGGTCATGCCATGAGAAGGTACCCAAAGCCCTCAGCCCTGGGCCTCAGTCATGATATAATGAAAATGGGGGACTGGAAGAAGAAAATCTGAGAGAAATATATAATTCTGGAATATGTGTTATCTAAGGACAATGGTTTGTTAGGAAGAAAGAGTTTGCTTTATTCAATTCCATAAACTCTTATTGAACAATCCTAACTATAAGGAATTGTAGATACAAAACTTATTGAGCACAGTTCTTGTCCTTGGGGAAATGACATTCTCCAAAAACTTCCATTGCCATCAAACACTTTCTTCCTTTAAACTCCAGGTCATTGTTTTTTCTTGGTTCACCACCTGCTTCACTGGGCCACTCCTTTTTGGCCTCATTTGCAGAATCTCAAATTTTAGTCCTCTCCTCCATTTACACTCAGACAGGTGATCTCACCCAATTTCAAGCATTAATTGTCACTGATATGCTTTCAGCTACCAAACTGATATTGCCCCTGAATTCCAGATTCATGTACCTAACTACCTACTCAACATATCTTCTTGAGTGTCTTATCTGAATCTCAAATTTAACATGTCCAACAGCAAAGTCGTGAGTTCCTGAACCTCTCTGCAGCCTACACCCCTAGCAGCCATCTTGATCTTTGTAAATGGCAGTTCCATTTCTTCATTTCCTCAGATTAAAAACTGTGGGATCATCCTTAAACACTTTCTCATTCACATAACATTCCATCTATCAAAAAATCCTGTTTTCTCTGTCTTCAGAAATACTCACCATCTACCAATTTCTCACACTCTCCAGCTACCACCCTAGTCAAAGCTATCATCATTTCTCTCATGGATTATTGAAGTAATCTCCCAATTCATTTTCCTACTTTAATCCTGACCCATTATATTTTCTAGAGAAGATAGAGTGATGTTTTTAAATACCAGTTGGTTATGTACTAACAGCAGAACTGCTTATAGCCTTTGGTCAAAAACCCTAGTGGCTTTCCTTTCTCTCAGAGCAGAGACAAGACTCCTTCATGATTTGGCCCCTACAGCTCTCAGTCTCATCTGCTACCAGCCTCCCCACCAGCTCTCTCTATTCTTTCTAGTCATATCACCACCCTGCAGTCCTTTAACATGCCAAGCAGATTCCACCTCAAGGCTTTTACATTTTCTATTCCTCTGCTAGGATGCTCTTTCAAAAATTACCCAAATGGCTCACTCCAGCAGTTCATTTCTCTCTCTGCTTAGATAACATCATCAATAAGGATTTCACTGGCCACATTTCTCCAATTATCTTTCAGTCCATTACCATAGTGTGTGTGAATATATATATATATATATATATATATATATATATATATATATATATATATATAAAAAACTATATATATATAGTTTTACTTATTTGCCCTATATATATTATATATGCATAGTGTACTTATTTGTTTGCATTATATATTATATATATTTATAAAATATAAATAAACTATATGTGCATTCATATATTATAGTGTATGTTATATATTATACATATATTTATTGTCTGAAACCCCCTCCCTCTAGAGTACAACCTCCATTAAAACAAAGACTTTGTTTTTTATGCTTTATTTCACTACCTAGTCCAGCCCTGGCTAGCCACTCACTAAATATCTATGGAAGGAAGAAATTTTAATTAAATTAACACTAGGATATACAGGTATGATAAGGTGTCAACAAAGCCACACTTGATTAAAGAATAAGCTGCTCCTCATTTGGTTCACTGCAACCAGTCCAAATGCCATATTTTGCTACTCTGATCTGTTCCCCTTTGACAACAAAGTACAGCTGGAGCTCTTTACCTTTGTTGCTTTCTGGTGGTGAAGTGGGCAGTTTGGTAGGAGAGATTGGAGCTGCGTCCCTGAAGAGGAAATATAAAGCCTTCACTTTTTGCCCCTCCCTTTCCATTTGTGTCCTTAGTGATTCAGCTCTACACTTTCTGGGAGGTAAGTTCAGCCCTCAGAGGAAGGCTCCTTAAATGTCATCAGAGCTGCTTTGAGTCCCTGAGATTCTCAGGACGGCCAGTGTTTTCTGGAGAAGCGCCCAGTTCTTGAACATTCTCTGCTCTGCTAAAGGGGAAACATTGGCAAGCTAACCTCTATTCAAGAAAATAAGCCAGCTGTCTACAAAGTGTAACATGTACTTATTCAAGTTGGTAGAGCTATATTCCACATCCCAGGGATTGCTTATGTCCACATGCAAGCACAGAGCTACTCAAATGGGAAAGATTCTGGCCGTGATGGATGCCTCCTGGCCCAAGGCACATTCGTCCCTAGGTCTTTTGTGCCCTCCTCCATGAAGCATAGGTTTTTACTTGGAACTTCAGCAATCTGCTGGCAGGTAATTCCTGTCCCATAAAAAGAACAGAAGAATGAGCTCCAGCAGGATTTATTCTGTGGTTTCAGTTTAAAAGCTTGGTAGAAGCAACAAGCCAATCATATTTAAAGTGAGTTCAGAAGTATGTTTCAAGCCTATGTAAAAGAGATTATAGATTAGGGTTAGGGATGAAAGCTGGAGACAAAAAAAAAAAATGTCTGTGGTATGCAGGAGCCAGAATCAGCACTATGCGACAAGCCCAGCTTACCAAAGACCTTTCTTGTCCACATTACCCACAGCCCAGCCTCCTGGCTTGATTCCACTGCCCAAAGGTAAGCACTGAGAGCTGAGTGCACTGCACTTAGGTTATAAAAAAGCCTTCAGGGCCAGTGACTTCTCTCTTCATCCTCAGCATGCAAGGTGTCCTCCCTAGACAAAAGGAAACCAGTCTATTAGACATGAGAACTAGAAAGGTTAGGTTTAAAATGATGACACTAATAGCCACTATGCCCATAAAAATAGCTGTATGCAACCAATCACAGAACAAAAAGGAGTCCAGAATATATCCAGTCTTTCTGTGCTCAAAGCAAGGGTTTTCTGATGTGAGCCAATTCCAGCCAGAGGTTTCCATAGCTTGGAAACCTCATATCCATGCTTAAGGCCAATCCTGCACCTCTTCATCTGTTTTCATCTCCCTTGAGGTCTAATTTTTAAAAAGGATTGATTTTCTTAGCTTCTTTGCTAATTAAGAAGGGCTGATCAAAGGAGGTATTTTTCATCCTTATTCTATACTGTACTCCTATTATTTTCCCTATCAGAGGGGAAGATCTTGGGCTCATATTCTTTATTATATTTTTATTGATTTCGGAGAGTAAGGAAGAGGGAGAGAGAAATAGAAACATCAATGATAAGAGAGTACCATTGATTGACTGCCTCCCACAACCCAGGCATGTGCCCTTGACCAGAATCGAACCCAGGACCCTTCAGTCTGCAGGCAGACGCTCTATCCACTGAGCCTAATCAGCTAGGGATTTTGGGCTTATTTGGTTTTTCTTTCCAGGTGGAAGGACATAATTATAGAGCACTGTTTGCCTCTCTTTACTCTCTCATTCACTCCTAGTGTTTTAGTCTTAGACAAAATCTTGCAGGCATGTAATTTACTTTGAAAATTATCTCAGGAGATAGAAAAAGTTATGCAATACTCATTAGAAGTTGGCCACAGGTATCTGATCCCATAGACCTCCAAAAGAACCTTATAAACAGTATCTTGAAACGGCCCTCTCAGTGGAAGATTGAGGGAAGCCTTTGTCTATTGGCTTTCATCCCATTGGCTTTCATTCCATTGACCTATGAACTCTCTATTGGCTTTCATCCCATTGGCTTTCATCCCATTGACCTATGAACTCAGGTTGCACTCGAATGCGTATCAAGCATGTGCAACCCACACCAAGGAATCAGAAAAGCTCTGGAGCTGGAAATGAGATGTAAGGGGAGGTGCTGTCAAGTTGAAATGCACAAAATTATTTAGAGCTTGTGCAGAACTGATAGTCTTGCTAGCAGCTAAATTAGGAAGTGGGGTGACAGAATTTGAAGTGTCTCAGAAGTGGTGGCCAACACATCTCATCCATAGCCTGCTGGTGGTTCTGGAAGAAGAGCTTCCCTCCAGTTTCCTGATGTGGGTGCTAGCTGTCCAATGGAAGTGCACATTCTGGTCTATTCTTTTTGCCCTAGGTTTTCCAGGGCAGCTCCCTCCATTGACAGTCCAGTAACCTCTGTGACTAGGTTGGATGTATGTCTAACTCTAAGAACCAGAATTAGAAAACCCATTGTAGGCTCATATCTAACCTTGTTTCAACCTATCTTTATCTGTCATAAATATTTTTATCTCCATCCACCTGAATTCACTTTCTCTCATAATTTTTCAGGATTTGAGTGAGGTAATAAGTGTTCTTTGCCAAGACCGGTTTGGCTCAGTGGATAGAGCATCGGCCTGAGGACTGAAAGGTCCCAGGTTCGATTCCGGTCAAGGGCATGTACCTTGGTTGAGGGCACATCCCCAGTAGGAGGTGTGCAAGAGGCAGCTGGTCGACGTTTCTCTCTCATCAATGTTTCTAACTCTCTATCCCTCTCAATTCCTATCTGTGTAAAATCAATAAAATATATATTTTTTAAAAAATAAAAAAATAAGTGTTCTTTACTGTGTCTCATATCCTAGAATAGTGAGCATGGGTTGAAGAGTGGAGTGCAAGCTGGGTTTCTGCCCCTAGCTAGTCCCAAAGCTCACCCATGTCGCCACTAGCACCACCTGTACTTGCTGAATTTCATCAGAAATTAAGGGAGAAGAAAAACCTGGAGGTAACTAGGAGAACCAGGAGAGCATAAGTGAAGCCATTGCATAAATGGTATCCTAAGACATTGTGTTAATAGTGTTCTGTATTTTATCAGGCAGCCCCACCTATTTGGCATTTTCTTGAGAGACTGTGGTAAATATATATATTTACTGACATTTGTTTGAATTAGATACAGAATTAAGAAAGGTCCACAGGCAGCTTGAGGTGAAGCTGGCTACTAAGTTTTTGTAATGAAGGGAAAAATAAACTAGCCACCAAGTGGTTGTTGTTAGAGGAAAGAGAGAGAACAATTGATGGGGAAATGTATTCAAGAGATGTAAGGGGTAAGACATAATGTGGGAGGAAAAACTAACTTTACACAATGACATATGGCCCTTCCCAAACACAAGAGCAGAGAAGGATGAATATGTATTTAAATAAAGTTTCACATATAACTCTTAAAAGTTTTGTCTAGACTGTTGATTCCTCATGGACAGGGACTATGTTTTTGCTAAATGCCCAATATGTAGTAAGCACTCAATAACCACGTGTTAAACTAAGCTGGTCATCTTTTTATTGAGAGGAAGGGAAAGTGATGCAGTTCAGGTTGGGGTAAGGCAAGAGATGAAGGTTTGGAATTGGCCATTTGGAAAACTGGAGGGTAGCCTGGTCAGGAACACACCAAAGGCTTCCTCACTGACTGCCAGGATCCACACATGATCAATAATATAAAGTAAGAATGATATTCCAACAGTAATTTTGCAATGGTTTGTACCTCCTAGGCTTCCCAAATCCTAGGGATGCAATCCCCACAACCAGTTTGCAAAACATCCATTTTCTGGTAGGATGTTTTAAAAAATGGTGGGACTTTTTTCAATGAATCCTACTTTCCATTTATTTTCCATAACAGATAGCAATTGTTTCAAAAGAAGTCATGCCATGTGAAAATCAAGAGTTTTGAAAACAACACTTAGAAAACTTTGTATTTAGTTAACACTTGACAAAGACCAGGTATAACAAAATAGAGTGTGAAGAACAGACCCCCCAAAAAAATCAGCTATTTACTGTTTTATTTTCCAGGAGGCACAGAAAGTGCCTTTCAACCATAATAAGCAACCCTAAGGATTACAAAGATGAATACTTCAAGCCTTGGATAGGTCTCAGTACTTTTGGTCTGTCCTCTTGGAGTATTTCCTCAAGTCAAAAGGAATTCACTGAAACTTGTCTTTGAAAAATTCTATATGTCTCATCAAAAGCCACAATTAAGAAATAAGGTGAGCCGCAGGTTAGGGAAAATATTCACAATGCACAAACCTGCAAAGGTGTTTATATATAGACTACACAAAGAACTAATACAACCCTACAAGATAGAGATAAATAAATGGACAAAACCTGGCTAGTGTTGCTCAGCAGTGAAAGCATCAACCCAACCACCAGTCTCAGGTTCAATTCCCAGTCAAGAGCATGTACCTGAGTTGCAGGTTAAATCCCTGGCCTCAGTTGGGGATTGTGCTGGAGACAACCAATCAATGTGTCTCTCTCACATCAATGTTTTTCTCTCCCTCTCCTCCCCTTCTGTTCCTTCCAACCTCTCTAAAAAGCAATGGGGAAAAATATCCTCAGGTGAGGATTAAAAAATAATAATAAATAAATAAATAAATACATGGACTAAATATTTGTACAGGCACTTCACTGAAGATTATGTATGAATGGCCAGCAAGAACATAACAAGGTGCTCAGCAGGATTAGTCATCAGAGAAATGCAAATTAAAACACAAAGACATACCACATCACACCCACTAGAATGAGTAAATAAGAAAGATTGACTACACTAAGTGTTGATCAATGTAAGGAGCAACCAGGCCTCTCCTACACTGCTGGTGGGAATATAACCACTGGGGCAAGTGCCAGCCTCTTAAAAAGTTAAATATGCAACTAACCTGTGACCTAACCAGTCCTCTGAAAAGTATTTATCCAAGAGAAATGAAAACATATTTCCACAATAAGCCTTGTACAAGAATGTTGATAGTAGTTTTACACATAAGAGCTAACCACTAGATGTCCATCAGGAGGAGAAAGTGTAAACAAACTATGATGCATCTGTACATCACAACATGACACAGCATTAAAAATGAACAAACCTCTAATACACATGACAACACTGGGTTGATCTGCAAAGCATCATGCTGAGTCAATGAAGACAGGCCAAAAAATAAATAAATAAATAAGACCAATAACTACACAGGCAAGTACATATGGTAACAAAAATGGAAGCAGTGGTTATTTCTCTTGGAGAAAGCAACTTTCTGGAGTGCTAGAAATGTTCCATTTCTTGATAGGTTATGGGTTAAGTGAGTACACACATTTGTAAAACTGATTAAACTGACTGATAGGAGCATTTTGCTATATGTAAATTATACATTAATAGTATTGTTTTATTTTAAACTTTCTATTTTGATATAATTGTAGGTTCACTCACATGCAGTCGTAAGAAACAAAACAGATAGATCCTAAGTATCCTTTGCTGAGTTTCTTACAATGATAATAACTTTCAAAATTATAGTAAAATGTCACAACCAGAATATCAACATTATCAAAATCAAGATATCACCAAAAGGGTTTCTTATGTTCTTCTTTTAAAACCACATTCACTCCTCCTTAGTCTTATCCTTAAACCCTGGCAATTACTCTGTTTCCCATCTTGATAGTTTTGTCATTTTAGTAGTGTCATATAAACAGAATTGCATAGTACATAATCTTTTGGGATTGCCATTTTTCACTCAGATTCTCTCTCTGGAGTTTCACCAAGTTTCTATGTTTATCAATAGTTCATTTCTTTTTTATTTCTGAGCAGCGCCCATGGTGTGAATGTATCACCATTATGCTTAACCATTCACCAGCT